AGTCTGTGGGTTTTGACAAATATATAACGACATATATCCACCATTATAGCATCATACAGAATACTTTTACTGCCCTAAGAATCTTCTTGCTCTCTGATTCATCCTTCCTCCCTCCCTAACCTCTGGCAACCACTGATTTCTTTTTATTTTTTAATTTTTTTCCTGTCTCTTGCTTTACCCAGAATGTCATATACTTAGAGTCCTACAGTAAGTACCCTTTTCAGATTGGCCTTTTCCGTTTCGTAATACGTGTTTAAAATACCTCTGTCATCTCATGGCTTAATGGCTGACTTCTTTTTAGCAATGAGTAATATTCCATTGTCTTGAGGTACCACAGTTTATCCATTTGCCCACTGAAGGGCATCTTGGTTGTGGCCGTTGAAAATAAAGCTACTATAAATATCTGGATGCAGGTTTTTCGTACATTTTCAACTCATTTGAATAAATACCAAGAAGGGCCATTGTTGGATTACGTGGTAAGAGCATGTTTAGTTTTGTAAGAAACCGCTGAACTGTCTTCCCCAGAAGTTCTTCCAGTTTGCATTCCAGCAGTATTGAATGAGAGTTCCATTGTTCCACATCCTCACAAGAGTGTTTGGGATTTCAGCGTTGAGGATTTTGGCTATTCCAGTAAGTGTTAGTGGTATCTGATTGTTGTTTCAGTTTGCATTTCTCTAATGACACACGATGTGGAGCCTCCTTTCGAATGCTCATCTGCTGACCGTGTATCTTCTTAGGTGAGGTGTCTATTTAGGTCTTTTGTCCTTTTATAAATCAGATTTTTAAAATTTTCTTACTGTTGAGTTTTAAAAGTTCTTTGTGTAGCTTGGATCACAGTTCATTGTTAGATGTGTCTTTTGCAAATAATTTTTCCCCGTCTGTGACTTGTCTTCTCATTCTCTTGACAATGTCTTTTGCAAAGCAGGAGTTTTTAATTTCTTTAAGAATTTTTTTTAATATTTATTCTTTATTTTTGACAGAGAGAGACAGAGTGCGAGCCAGGGAGAGGCAGAGAGAGAGGGAGGCACAGAATCCAAAGCAGGCTCCAGGCTGCTAGCTGTCAGCACAGAGCCTTATGCAGGGCTTGAATTCACGAACTGCGAGTTCATGACCTGAGCTGAGGTCGGAAGCTTAACTGGCTGAGCCACCCAGACGCCCCATGAAGTTTTTAATTTCAATGAAGTCCAGCTTTGCAATTATTTCTCGCACGGATCACGCCTTTGGTGTTATATCTAAAAAGTCATCAGCATACTCAAAGCCATTTAGATTTTCTTTCTAGATTAGATTTAATCGATTTTCTCTATTTTGTAATAATGGCTATGTTTAACCATCAGCTCACAAAATTCCTGAAGATTTAACAGTCAGCTCTTATGAGCTGCCATGAGCCAGCTGCAGCACACCAGCCTTGTGGGAGTAGAGAAAATTGGACCTATTATTTACAGTACGTACCAGAATAAATTCCAAATGGATCAGAGACATAAATGTAAAAATAAAATGAAACCTTACAAGGAATGACCAGGAAAGATGTGGATAAATTCCTGTATAACCTGGGAGTGGGGAACGTCTTCTGAATTATGGCTTAAAATCCATAAGCCTTAAGGGAAATGGGATTATATTAGTTTCATAAAATGAACTGAGAATTATCATTTCTTTTTGCATTTTTTGAACAATTTCTCTAACATGGGAATTGTGTTTGTAAAGGTTTAACAGAGTCCATTTTATTTATTTATTTATTTATTTATTTAATTTTTTTTTTCAACGTTTATTTTATTTTTGGGACAGAGAGTGACAGAGCATGAACGGGGGAGGGGCAGAGAGAGAGGGAGACACAGAATCGGAAACAGGCTCCAGGCTCTGAGCCATCAGCCCAGAGCCCGACGCGGGGCTCGAACTCACGGACCGTGAGATCGTGACCTGGCTGAAGTCGGACGCTTAACTGACTGCGCCACCCAGGCGCCCCTAACAAAGTCCATTTTAAAAGCATCCAGGTCTAGAGATCTTTGGGGTGGAGTTTTAACTACCAGTTAAATTTCTTTAATCCTTGTGAATCTGTTTTAAATTACGTTTTTCTTCTTGTGCCAGTTTGGCATTTGGTGTAGTTTCAAGAAATTTATGCCTTTTATCTATCTTTGCTTTCAAAATCTCTATTTCCTCATCTTCATTATTTGATCAGGTTTTACTTAGTTGTTTTTTTTTTTAACCTCTTTTCTTCTATCAGTCTTATCAGAGGTTTATCTTGGTAATCTTTTCAAAAACAGAACTTTTATTCTTATTAAAATTTCCTCCATGTAAGAAAATTATTATTTTGTTTCTCATTATATCCTTTCTTATATTCTTTTTTCTTCTTTGTTTTGATGTTCTTTTTGATCAGTTCTTGAGTTGGATGCTGAGTATATTTCTTTTCAACTTTTATTGTTTCCTGATAAACATATTTACATGTGTAAATGCTCTTCTAAATATTTGTTTAGTTATATCCCACACATTTTGTGTTTTCATGCTCATTTAATTCTAGATATTTCTTCATTTTGATTATAATTTCATTTTTAACCTATGAGTTATTTAGTAGTGTGGCTTTTTTAATTTCGTAATTTTTTTGATGTTTATTTATTTTTGAGAGAAAGAGAGAGAGAGAGAAAGAGAATGAGCGGGGGAGGGGCAGAGAGAGAGGGAGACAGAATCCAAAGCAGGCTCCAGGCTTGAGCTGCTGATGGAGGGCTCAAACCCACAAACCATGAGATCATGACCTGAGCTGAGGTTGGACCCTTAACCCACGGTGCCACCCAGGCGCCCCATTAATGTGGTATTTTTAAAGTATGGAACATTTAAAGAAATTCTGTTATTTATTTCTAAAGTTATTTCATTATGTTTGGAAGATGTAATGTATAAGACATTGCTCCTGGTGAGTTTATTGAGACTTCATGTAGGCCTGATACATTCATGTTACTTTGTGGGTGTTTCTAAAAATGTATATTTGCAATTTGTTGCATGAACTATTATGACATATATATATATATATATGAAGATATTTATTATACACAGCATACCATTAGAACATACCTATCAAAGATGTGAACAGTATAATTAATAGTATAAGCCTACCAATTATACCGTTTAGATAAAAATCTGCTTAATTTTTGTTTACTTAATACACTTCTGATAAGTGGGTATTAAAAATTACAACTATTTTTATGTTACTCTCTGTATGCTGTCAGTTACTGTAACCTATTATTAGGTTCATATATGTTTGTGATGGTTATATCTTCTTGCTTTATTGTTTTGTTTACCTTAAAAAATTTTTTTTTATCTTTATTTATTTTTGAGAGAGAGGGAGACAGTGTGTGAGTGGGGGAGGAACAGAGAGAGGGAGACACAGAATCCGAAGCAGGCTTCAGGCTCTGAGCTGTCAGCACAGAGCCAGATGCGGAGCCAAACTCACATGACCTGAGCCGAAGCCGGATGCTTAACTGCCTGAGCCACCCAGGCGCCCCTGTTTTGTTTACCTTTTACATCAACTTCATTTTTTGTCAGCTACTATCATTGCTGGTTTTCTTCGTGCGTCTTTTGGTTTTATGAATATTTCTCATAGACAACATGGTTTTGGATTTTATTTTTATATCCTAATACTATTAGAGAATACTTGTTTTTTATTTGTGAGTTAACTCCATTTACATTTATTGTAATTGCTGTTGTATTAGAAATGACTTCTCCTACCATATCTCATATTTTATTGCATTTTCTTTTTGTTTTCTCCTGGCTCAAAAAATTATTTTATTTTTGTTCAAGTGTGGCAGCCTTTAAGACCCTTATTCATGTTTACTTATTAATTTCTTGAACTTATCAATATCTGTATATTTCTTCTAACTAAACAAATAATTTAGTGTTTTGTGTGTGTGTGTGTGTGTGTGTGTATATATATATATATAAAATTATTATTGTACACACACACACACACACACGTCCTAATGGTTCTGCTTCTCTAAGTGAACTCTATTATTCCCAAATACAGAAAGAGGGGACTGGTTAAAATAAGATAAGGAAAACTCCAAACCTAGAACATCAAAATAAAACTTAAGAACCTCAAAGATGAGGAAAGAATTGTAAAAATTTCTAGAGAAAATAAAGAGATCATCAATGAGAACAAGAATTAGGTTAGACAGTGGGCACAAGGTGACAAATGGAAAAATACTTTTTAAATATTAAAGAAAAATAAATTTTAACCTAGATTTTATATTTATCTTTCAAATTGTCTTTCCAATGTAATGGCTTAAATATATATATATATTTATATATATATATATACACATATATATACACACACACATATAAATATATGAAATAAACAAATATATGTATATTTATTGTTAAAATATAAATATCTTATATTTATATTATATTATAATTTATAATATATTAGTTATAATTATATTTATAATATATTATATTATATTGTTAAAATATAGATATATTTATATATATACATATATTTGTTTGTTTATTTCAGATAAGACTGAGAATGACATTATACTGAAAACATGTATTGGAAGCAGTACTCAATATTCAAGAAATATGGTAAAGGTGACAAAGTCCCTGTTAAGGACCAGAGTGAGAAAAGGAACAAATTTACAAATATATCCAAATATTTTATATTTATCCAAATATATATAAAATTGTAATATATCCAAATACATTACAAATATATCCAAAAACACCTATTTGAGATAATGTAATATGAGTATATACTCCCCTTTGAGGGAAGGGGAGTATATATATTGCAGGGATTTGACCTTATGAAATGTGAACACTGGTTAAAGAGTCTTTATAAGGCTATGGTGTTTACGTCGAGTGTTGGAGTCAGGAGGTTTGGAATAAAAGACGGAAGTAAAGAGGGGGTGATCAAGACAAGCCGGAACCCATAAACACAAGCCGGAGCCTGTGAGGACAGACCAAAACTCCTTTTAGTTCCTGTTGCCTCTAATCTTGATTTTACATGTTTCCTACAGAAACTAGAGCCTTATATCATGATTAGCAAACACCCCTGGTCTGGGGGTCAGTGAATCTTCGTGGGGATCTGCAGAAGGTGCAGCTGTTGGAAACTCCCCGGCTGCTTCACAGTCGTGAGGTGAGCTGGCAGGTGAGCGACAGTGCCCTGCAAACCTTTCACAGGGATCTTGCTTATGGCCCATCTAAATGGAAATGCACAGGAAATGGGGTTTGGGGAAACCAGGGTCAGCCTGGTCAAGCGGCCACAAAGCCAGTGCTCATACATGTTAGTACTCTTGCTCCTACCCTCCACGTCTTCGAGCTCTCTTCTGTATTTCCTCTCTTTACCCTTTACTGCTGACCTCTAGGAGAGTTTGTCCATCTGAGCTTTCAACTCACTGATTTATTCATCACCTTTATCCATCTTGCTTTATATCTTAACTAGTGTTTTAGTTACTTCAGCTGTTACTTATTTCATACCTTATATTCAGTTTGGTCCCCTTTAAAAAAATGTTTGTTTGTTTGTTTGTTTATTTATTTAGAGGCAGAGAATCCCAAGCAGGCTTTGCACTGTTAGTGCAGAGCCCGATGTAGGGCTCGATCTCATGATCCATGAAATCATGACCTGAGCCCAAATCAAGAATCTGATGCTTACTCAACTGAGCCACCCAGGAGCTTCTCAATTTGGTCCTTTTTAAATGTTTTCTTATTCTTACTTCATGTTGCTTACATCAACGTTAACTTTTTTTATTTATTTTTTTAATTTTTTAATGTTTATTTAATTTTGAGACAGAGAGAGCGAGACAGAGCACGAGTGGGGAAGTAGCAGACAGAGACAGGGAGACACAGAATCCAAAGCAGGCTCCAGGCTCTGAGCTGTCAGCACAGAGCCCCATGTGGGCTCGAATTCACGAACTGCGAGATCACGACCTGAGCCAAAGCCTGCCGCCTAACTGACTGAGCCACCCAGGCTGCCCACATCAGCCTTAACTTCTTAATGTATTTGTTGTCATTAATTTCTCATTCCATCTCTTGGCATAATTCTGATTCATGTGGTCTATACTGTCGAATTTGCCTATCTTTCTAACATAGTAGCTGTAATCCTTACATGGATTTCTGGGTTTTTTTTTTTCTTTCTGTTTTTTTGTCTTTTTCGGCCCCAAGATCTCTTGCTCCCTTTGACTACCAGCTACTACGCATGGTTATGGATTGGGACATGGCTCCAGCCCAGACTCTAATTGACGTACCTGTAAGTGAATTAAGCCAGGGAAGAGAGCCCCGGGGCCACAGAACTGTTGGTGATCATTCCCATTTGCCCACCATCCAGAAATAACTTCTCTAGTGTGTATTTCCTATTTAAGGGAAATGGGAAACAGGCTCTAGGCTCTGAAAATATTACAGTCTCTGTTGATTTGTTCTCCTTGCCCTGGGGGTTCAGAGTGGGAGGGATCCAGTGGTGAATACCCAAGGGTAGCTGGTCAGGGCACATTCCCTCTCTTCATCCCTCCTCACTTCCGTGGGGCTTTTGCTCTGCCCTTGTTGTACCCTGCTGACCCCTGCAGTCTCAGCTGTTGCTGCCAGTTTCTGTGGTGATTAACAAACTGATTGTCCACCTCGGGGAGAAGCAACAGAAAGTTGTCCTCCTCTGGCTGCCCTCCCCAGGCCGAAGCCATTCTCCCCACCAACCCCCTGCCATGTCCCTGCCAACCACCACCCCCCCCCCCGCCCCCATCCGTTTCCTGAGTCTGCAGACTTCCCAGAGACTTTTTATAGTGCTTTATTTTATTTTATTCTTTGTTGTTAGTTCCTCAAATTCGAGTTTCCCCTCCGGCTTCTGTAGTTTCTTTAGGGTTGATTTTCAGGAAGGAGCCAGTGGCTAATGTAGTTTGTCATCTTGACAGGAGTAGAGAATGGTTTATAGAATGAGCAGGTGTAGCAACAGAAAGGGGAGAGAATCTGAGACAGCAGTTGCAGGAATCTTAAGAGAGGAAGGCTACAAATGAACCTCAAGAGGTGTTTTTTCTGCATTTAATTTAAAATTATTAATTAATATGTATGAGCATGTATGTATAAGTGTGTATATGGACATATGTATGTATGTACATGACTTTAAAAGTGAAATAATGCTATCAGGCTTATCATTGAAAAACAGCAATCTCTGGGGCACCTGGGTGGCTCAGTGGATTAAGTGTCTGACTCCTGATTTTGACTCAGGTCATGATCTCACAGTTCATGAGTTTGAGCCCTGCCTGGGGCTCTGCGCTGACAGTGAGGATCCTGCTTGGGATTCTCTTTCCCTCTCTCCCACGTAAGCTTTCTTTCTCTCTCAAAGTAAATGAGTAAACTTAAAAAAAAAAAAATAGCAATCTTCACCCTTTCCTACCCCAGTATTGTGCCCCACGGCAACAATTTTCAACTTAAAAAAAAAAACAACCTTGCTTAAAAAATAATTAAAAAATTTTTAAAAACCTTCTTGAAGTGTTTATTTCCACATTTAAAAAAAATTTTTTTTAATGTTTATTTGTTTTTGAGAGAGACAGAGACAGAATGCGAGTGGGTTAGGGGCAGAGAGAGAGGGAGACAGAATCCCAAGCAGGCTCCAGGCTCTGAGCTGTCAGCACAGAGCCCGATGCAGGGCTCGAACTCACAAACCGTGAGATCATGACCTGAGCCGAAGTCGGACGCTCAACCGACTGAGCCACCCAGGCGCCCCTTATTTCCATATTCTAAGTAACATGCTTTTCTTAGTATTTCTTGGTTTTTAAAAGTTACATACTATGCTTGGCTTCCTAAATTAGAAGATGAAGAGCTCGCATCTGTACACCACTGTATTCTCCCTTCCAGTGTGTCCTTTCTTCCTTCTTACCCTAGCCTCCTGATGTACATCCACCATCCCTTCCATCATCAATATGGCGTGTCCACAGTATCATGTGTGTGCAAACCCTGTTCATGCCTGAGACATATAGCATGCTAAGATCATACTTCCTTTCTTAAAAAAAATTTGATGTTTATTCATTTTTGATTGAGAGAGAGAGACAGAGTGAGGGTGGGGTGAGGGGCAGAGAGAGAGGGAGACACAGAATGTGAAGTGAGCTCTAGGCTCTGAGCCCTCAGCACAGAGCCTGCCTTGGGGCTCAATCCCAGGAACTGTGAGATCATGACCTGAGCCGAAGTCAGACGTTCAACTGACTGAGCCACCCAGGCGCCCCTCATATTTCCTTTCTTAGATCTCTTTGTATTTTCTTAGGGTTAATACTTGCCTTCCCCACCCCCAAGTGTTCAGCGCTCTCTGTGCCTCCCACAATTCTCTGAATACTTTGATAAGAGTTGAAAACATCAGGTAATCTAGCAGATTCTTTCCCTTCCCCATACCCATCCCTCTGTGCAGACTTCATTTTCCTGCTTATCATCTCGGCAACTTCTTTTGCCTGCCTCCCGTGTTAGGCCTCCCATTTCCTAATTTTGTATCTCTCTCTTTCTTGAAACTTACCCTTGTTTGGTGCTGAAACACCAGCAGTCTCTTTTGGCTGCTTCCCAAGAAAGAGTCCGTAGGAGGTTAAGTTTAAGTGTGGGTGTGGTGATCATTTGCCATTTAGGCAGCCCCAAATATTCGAATACCTCTTCCCATTTTGTTAACAGTTTCCCGTGTTATAAATTCTATATTCTTTTTTTTAATATTTGTGTATTTATTTTGAGGTGGGGAGGGGCAGAGGGACAGAGAGAGTGAATCCCAAACAGGCTCCGTGCTATCAGCACAGTGCCCGACATGGGGCTTGATCCCACAAACCGTGAGATCATGACCTGAGCCGAAATCAAGAATTGGACACTTAACTGGTTGAACCACCCAGACACCTCTAGAGCTTTAACTATTATGACTCTGTGAACAGCTTGTCTCTCTGTTTTTTTTTTTTTTTTATGTTTATTTATTTATTTTGAGGGAGAGAGTGCAAGTGGGGTAAGGGCAGAGAGAGAAGAAGAGAAAGAATCCCAAGCAGGCTCAGTGCTGTCAGTGTAGAGCCCGATGCAGGACTCGATCCCACGAACCCTGAGATCATGACTTGAGCCGAAATCAAGAGTCAGATGCTTAAGCAACTGAGCCACCCAGGTGCCCCTATAAATTCTATATTCTTAACAAAGAACCCTGTTCAGGTCGTTCTCCGGTTGTTGGATTGCAGACCTGTGATTTTGATCCTACCACTCAGCTGCATCCGTGCCAGAGTGAGAATCTGGATCCCCAGCCGTATTACTTGGGAAAGAGTCAGGGCCGAGGCTTCCACTTGCCGGGGAATCTCTGGGTGAGGCAGCCCAGCAGGGTTCTGGAATCCAGCGTGTGACTGACGAGTCTGATTTTGCAGCCTCCTGGTGATGGCAGAGGCAGAGCCTGGATCTGGTGCCTGTGGTGATGGCAGCATCCTGATGCGGTGGCTTCTGTCCGAGGCACTGACTCCCTCAGTGGGCAGACCTGTGCTGGGGGGTCAGTCCTGGAAGTACAGTCCATTTTCTCCCAATCTGTGCACTCTCTGTATCTTGTAACTTGTCCCTTTGGCTTAAATTGGTGTGTTAGAGTCTGTTATAGTCTGCTATAACAGAATACCACAAACTTAAGGCCAACAGAAATGTATTTCTCACAGTTCGGGAGGCTGGACGTCCAAGGTCAGGTTCTGATGAGAATCCCCTTCCAGCTTGCCGACTGCTGACTTCTGAGTGTGCCCTCGCATGGTGGTAGGGACAAGGGAGCCCTTTTCGAAGGGCATCACTCTCATTCTTGAGGGTTCCACCTCGTGACCTCATCGCTTCCCAAAGGCACCCCCACCTTCTGATACCATCGCATTGGGGGTTAGAAAATTCTAAAATTCTAAAAATTCAACACGTGAGTTTGGGCGGTGAGGGGGAGACACAAACATTTAAACCATAGAAGTATCTAGAGTAACTTCTGCTGTGTTAGTCTAACCTGGCCAATGTGCCTTGTATGCCTATAGGTATCGTGATTCTACTGCAAGACATGTGAGTTTGAAAGGGAACAGATTTCTAATTTGGAAACTCGTTTTCCTCAAAAACTAGAAAGCCTTTCTCCATTGCCTCTGGCTTTTAGTGTGGTTGCTGAGAATTCTGAAGCCATTCTTTTTCCTGGGTCTGTATGTGATTTACTTC